GGGTCCATGTCATTGGTTCGACAGCCCATTGGTTCGACATCCCATTAGTCCGACTGTCCGCGGTGCTGAACGGCTCACGGCGGGCGTATGGTGCGCCGCGACCAGCTTGAGGCGGAGCAGGCTCACGGCTTATGTGTTTGCCACTTTCTTTTTCATTTTAACCCACACCATGATCTTTTCCTGACCCTAACCAAGTGGTTTTTGTGCCTAAACCTAACCAGACCTTAACCACAGGGCGTCATGATGATTTTGGAACGGACTTCGGAACAATGAGTTTAATATGGTCGGAACAATGGGATGTCGAACCAATGGGCTGTCGAACCAATGGGCAGTTCCCAATTAGTATTAATATAAAATGAATATGTTTACATTACGTTACGTCGGTTTATATTCTGTTGGCTCAAATGTCCCGTATACGTCAAGAGTTACACATTATGACAGTCTTAGTAAAACCGAAGTCCCTCACACAATAACTGACGTTTGCATAGCATACGTTGCATTGGCTGTAAAGCTGTGAATGATGGTCACGGAGATGAGCCAGTAGTGTACCTTGGCATTCTTCAGAAACCCAAAGTACACCCAGACCTCAGATTTTGTGCGTTTAGTTGGGGGGAAAATGTCCTGAGTGCCGCTATCACCACCTTTTGCCATGTTTTCATTCTTTGTGTTTACACAAGCTATGCATTCACGCAGCTCCTGCATTGCGAGACTTGGATGAGGCTGTTATTACATATCCTGATAATCCACCGCGATAATGCAATTGATTTAAACATAAACGGTAATTCTTACCGTGTAAAAGTTAACCGAGATTTACCGTAATATCGGTAATCGTTACATCCCTAATTCAAACACATGTAGAGACAGACACATACACAACATTCTTTCATCACACAAATACCTCCTCAGCTGTATAACTCAGACTAACTACAACATTTAGTAACGATATTGTGATCAGCCTCCATGTAACAGAGCTCCAAGTAAACAAACACATTGCATATTTTCCATAAAACGTATGTTAAAAACCGATTCACAATCAAACTCCGAGTACAGCCACACATTTTGACAAATAAATGCAGGTCTGATTGTTGCCTGTCAACTAATCACTCGAGCTAGTGGCATTTAGTTGCTCAGATCGGGCATCACAGATAGACATTAAAATTCATCTCACTGAAACTAGCAGTTTAACTTACTGTACACTTAGTAGCAAAAGCATTTCAAAACAATAGCTTTAGTTTGCCAGTTTGCCGAGACCTACAGCTATAATGCTGTGTAAAACACAAAGGAAAAGGGAGAAAGCATAATAGGTCCTCATCAAAAGCCGATTCACAATCAAACTATGAGTACAGCCACACACATTGACAAATAAACGCAGCTCTTAATTCGACCCCAGGTCTGACTGTTGCCTGTTAGGTAATCACTCAAGCTAGTAGCAGTAGCTGCTTAGCTTATCACACATAGCAATGTTTCGGCTTTTGTCAATATGGACATGTTGCACATCTTAGCTCTGTTAGATTCTCCACAATTCAGTCATTAAATTCATCTTACTGACACCACCCAGCTAGCAGTTTAACTCTGTACAATTAATCAGTCAATCAATTTTATTTATAAAGCCCAATATCACAAATCACAATTTGCCTCAGAGGGCTTTACAGCATACGACATCCCTCTGTCCTTAGGACCCTCGCAGCGGATAAGGAAAAACTCCCCCCAAAAAAACCTTGAACAAGGAAAAAAAATGGTAGAAACCTCAGGAAGAGCAACTGAGAAGGGATCCCTCTTCCAGGATGGACAGACGTGCAAAAGATGTCGTACAGAGCAGATCATTATGATAAATTCCGTAATGAGACAGAAAGAGAGACAGAGACAGACAGAGATGCAGGACAGACAGTGATGACAGTAGGTTACAACAACATTAATTAAAGTAAGTAAATTAATTACGGCTATTGTGGTACAATATGTTGGAATATTAATGAAATATAATTATTAATTAATAATATATTAATATCTGATAGTATACATATGTGACAATATGTGTATAATAACAGTAGAAGTAGGACTAATGATAACAGCAGGAGGCATCAGGCAGGACCACGGCAGCAGCACAACCACACACGTCACACCTGCCAGGCACTGCCGCGATATAAGTTAACTTGCGAGACAGTGGAGCACAAAGGCTCCGGAGAAGAAGCCGAGTTAGCGAGATGCAGTAACAGGACATGAGTGTTAGCAAAGGAGAGAGAGAGAGAGAGAGAGAGAGAGAGAGAGAGAGAGAGAGAGAAGAGGAGAAGGTGCTTGGTGTATTATAGGAGGTCCCCTGGCAGACTAAGCCTAACCGTGTGTTCCCACCAAACGCGATGAATGCGATTTACCCGGCTTGTTGTCGTCACTGTGCATGTATGCACACATTTCTGTTGCCCTCACTAGCAGCTGAGCAGCTGTTGTCGCCAGCATCAAACTAAAATATAACTTCTAACGTTAATGTGGGAGCTAAGCAGAAAACTTTATCAGTCATGCCCGTCTGTAACATTAATAGACAATGTTAGTTTAACAGGACAACACAATTATGTGTGTCTGAAAAGTTATGTTAACTGTAAAGTCACAGATTGAAGCTGAGAAAACGTTTGGTTTCTCCCGTAACCCCTGGTTCTCTGATCACATAGTGAGGTAGAAACAGGAGCATCCTGAGCCTAAACTACCAACTCTATTTGATCAGCAATGAAAATATGGTGCCAATTCACCAGAAGCACAGAAAATAAACAGGGCTGTAGATAAATATATTTGTATGGACATATCTTGTTTCTGGTTGTTATTTATTTTGGGGGGATTTTTTGTTATCATTGATGTTACTGTTCTGATCTTTATTTAAAAAATGACATGCCTCTTAATTTTTTGCTGCTGTATCAAAAATGGTATCGAGTATTGAATATTTTCCT